CGTTTTGCTGCGGGGGCCCTTTTGCTGCTGGAGGCTTTGCAGCAACTAAGGAGTGTCCGTATCCCTACGCGCTGCGGCGCTCCTTCTGGAGCAGCAGCAGCAGCAGCAGCAGCAGCAGCAGCAGCAGCGGCAGCAGCGGCGGCAGCAGCAGCAGCGGGGAGGAGGCGGTTGAGGAGTATGAGGGCGAGGAGGTGTACGTGGTGCCTGTGGGCCTGCACAGCAGCACGCTGCAGCAGCAGCAGCAGCAGCAGCAGCAGCAGGGGGCTGTTGCGGGCGCCGCTGGAAGCGCTTTAAGCGGAGCAGCAGCAGCAGCAGCAGCAGCAGCAGCGAGGGAGCGCCAGTTCAGCGTGCGGGACAGCGGAATTTACTTTTTGATAACAGCAAATTGCGGACCTTTAAATGATTTGAAAATGGAAGGAAAAGTTTCAGTAAAAAGTCCCTTGGGTTTGCTGCCAGGGTATTTGTACCCCGCGTTAGCTGCGGACTTGCTGCTGCTGCTGCTGCACCTGGCAGCAGCAGCAGCGTGGGGCCTGCTGCTGTGCTGCAACCGCAGCAACATCATAAAGCTGCACGTGCTGATTGCTGCTGCTGCTGCAGTGGGGCTCGCGGAGACCGCTGCTGCCTTCGGGTGTACGTACACCTGGATAGGGGGCCCCCCGGGGCCCCTGCTGCTGCTGCTTGCTGCTGCTCTTTCCCTCAGCAAATACATTTCTCTTTATTTGCTGCTGCTGCTGGGGGCCCTCGGCTGGTCCATTACAAAACCTTTTTTGGAGAAAAAAACTCTCAACAAAGTCTTCTTTCTCGTCGCCGCCTACATAGCCCTGTACTCTTTGAGGTAATTATTTATTTTTTGTTTTTTGTTTTCTTTTTTTTAATTCTTTTTTAGTCAAAGTCTCTTCAAACTTGGCTTTCTTTTTCTATTTTTTATTTCCCTTTTAATGGTCTAGTTCGTTTTAAAATCCGATTACCACTTTCTCTTTTTTTAGTTTTTTAAATTCGTTTTTAGTCAAGCTGCATTCAAACTTTCTGTTTTGCTCTATTTTTAATTTCCTTTTTAATGATCTAAATTGTTTTGAAATCCGATTATTACTTTCTGTTTTTTATTTTTTTAATTCTCTTTTAATAAGTTCTCCCCGAACTCAGTGTTCTTATTTATAACGAATTAATGATTTAATTAGTTAATTATTAAATTGCTTATGTATTTAATTATTTAATTGTTTAATTATTTAATTGTTTAATTGTCAGATTGGTATTAATTAATTATCGATTAATAATGAATAACAATTATTTTAAAATGAATTTAAATTAATTTCAAATTAAAGTTTATTTACTTTTGCTGTTTTCCTCTTTTTCATGTCTTCGTACTGGCCTCTGGTGGCACCGCCAAACAAAAAATAGCATTTTATTTATTTGTTTAATTATTTATTTTATTTTATTCTATTGTACTTTATTTATGTATTTATTATTCATATATTTTCTTTTTATTTATTTATTTATTTATGTGTTTATTTATTTATTTCTTTTTTGTCTAACACCTTTTGTATGTTTATAGCTTTCATCTGTCATTTTTAATTTGTTGCTGTTCATTGCCTCATCCTGAGGGTTTAGGTTTTAGGGTTTAGGGTTTAGGGTTTAGGGTTTAAGATTCAAGTTTTATACCTAAGCGGTTTAAGGCTTAAGATTCAGAGTTCAAGGCTTATTGTCTACGATTTGGTCAAGGGCTCAGGGGTTGTTAGGGTTTAGGGTTTAGGGTTTAGGGTTTAGGGTTTAGGGTTTAGGGTTTAGGGTTTAGGGTTTGTTTGCAGGCAAATAACAACTGCGTCTGAAGTTTCCGCCACGCAGTCCTTCTACAGATCTCTTTTTGTTTTGTGTCCTCTTTCCATTTTAAATGTAATTGTTTTCTACTGGATCTTCTCCGCACTTCACGACAACATCGAGGTCTGGCCAGGGTTTAGGGTTTAGGGTTTAGGGTTTAGGGTTTAGGGTTTAGGGTTTAGGGTTTAGGGTTTGGTGTCTGGGGTTTAGGATTTGGGGCTAAGGGTTTAGGTTTTAGGGTTTAGGGTTTGGGGTTTGGGGTTTAGGGTTTGGGGTTTAGGGTTTGGGCTTAAGGGTTTGGGGTTAATGGTTTAGGGTTTGGGGCTAAGGGTTTAGGGTTTAGGGTTTAGGGTTTAGGGTTTAGGGCTTAGGGTTTAGGGCTGGGGTTTAGGACTGCGGGCTGTGCTCTTCGACGTCTGGGGTTTAGGGTTTAGGGTTTAGGGTTTAGGGTTTAGGGTATCGTTCTGTTCAGCAAAAGAATTAAAACAAATCAAAACAAAATAAAACAAATTAAAACAAATTAAAGCCAATTAAAATGAATCAAAATGAAATAAAACAAAATAAAAGAAATTAAAAGGAATTTAAAGAAATAAAAGGAATAAAATAAATTTAAAAATAAGAGTGAACTGTTTGCTGCAGCTGCTGGTAAGAAACAAGCAGCACGAAAAGCTGCAGATTTATTGGCGGCTGCTGCTGCTGCTGTTTGGGGCTCTTTTTTTTGCTGCTACTTTGCTGCTGCTGCAGCTCTGCTTTGCTTCCTTGGTGAGAACTGCTGCTGCTGCTGCCCTTGCTGCACTCCCAAACCCTAAACCCTAGAAACCCCAAACCCTAAATCCTAGAAACCCTAAACCCTCGAAACCCAGAAGTCCTAAACCCTAGGCTCCTCGCGTCAACCACAAACCCTAAACCCTAAACCCTAGACGGGGGACTGTGTGGACAGAAGCAAATACAAGCCCTAAACCCTAAACCCTAGCCTCAGCCATTAGCCCCCAAACCCTAAACCCCAAACCCTAAACCCTAAACCCTGCGCAGCTGCAGCGGCCCCTTCTGCAGCAACCAGCTGCTGCCACTCCCCCCTTCTAATCCAATTAATTAATTTATTTATTTATTTATTTAGTTATTTATTTATATATTATTT